CATGATCTGTCCCCTGTCAGCCTAGCAGTCACTGTAATCCTCAGAGCGGCAAGTGACTAATCAAGATTACCCTTGGGATGGGGGGAAAGCTGAGACGCTTGAGCCTTGGGCATGATTGATACCTCCACAACACAGATGGAGCCATTTGATAATTGCTATTTGGTGGTTTCATTTTTTGCCAGTCCTGGGGTTTGAACTCAGGGCCTGGACATCATGCCTGAACTCTTTCACTCAAGGCTAGTGCACGACCAGTTGAGCCACAGCTCTACTTTTCTGGCTTTTTGGTGGTTCATTGGAGGTAAGAGTCTCACAGACTATGTTCCTCAGATCTCAGCCTCTTGAGCAGCTGGGATTACAGGTGTGATCCACCAGCACCTGGCTGTTGTTGTATAATACAGTTAATTCAGAAATGGAAATTTCTCTTATTTAGAGTCTGAGATGGAGCCAGGCACTAGTGGCTTACCCCTGTCACCCCGAATGCTTGGCCAACATTGTTTGGTGTGCCTTGGGGACAGTCCAGTGTCCTTGAGATGCCAAGAATGGTGGGAGTGGCGCAGGACGATGACCCAGTATGCTCTCTTCTCTGCTGTAAGTGCTGGTAGCCAGGTCTCTAGGCCCAATTAACATTGAAAGGATGACCAGTTCCTACCAGAAGCAATCGCACAAAGCACAGCACATTCATTTGCAAGGAAATTTCCTGCCCAGATAAAAAGAATACAACTGGGCTGTGGTGGCTCCAGCCCGAAATCCTGGCTACTCAGAAGGTGGAGATGGTAGGAGCATGGTTCAAGCCAGTCAGGGCAAAAACGTTTGCAAGACTCCATGTCAACCAATGGCTGGGCACCATGGTACACACCTGTGATCCTAGCACAATGTCTGTGTACAGTAGTATACACCTGTTATTCCCAGTGATGCCACTTGCATGGTTCCCACCCATGGCCAGTGACTCCGAAGAGGTCATCTGTAACTGACCTAAGTAAGGCTGGTCTTACTCCTGTTGGTGTTCTGACTCCTGAGCAACTTCTCTGGGCTCCAGGCTGCCTTCCTGGCCTGGCTCCCGCCACAGTCCCTGGGAAGCAGCACAGATGTTTACAGCAGGAGTAACTGGTAAATTATAATCAGCAGGATTGTATAAACATCCCTTGAAAGTGTGTAAAAGCAGAGAGCTTTCTGCTTACCCAGCAACTTGCTCCAAATGAGGGTAAGGAACATTGGGCAGAATGGAGTTCATTAATCACCATCATGTCAAGGTGGGATATTGTCTTAGTTTGCAAGATCAGGAAATTGAGATGCCAGCACCCAAGATGGGTTTTAAGCAACTTTTACAGAAACTGAAGGAAGTCGGGCCTGAGGCAGGGTGGGTGAGGTCAGTTGGGATGAAGTCTCCATAGATGATCAAGCTGTTTGTTTCCCACACTGGCTTCCATCTTGATTATGGAAACAGCCACTATCCAGCCTGTCACCTTGACAATGGAATGCCTCATGTGACTTTTCTAGGAGATCTGGGAGCTGTAACCTTCACATCTCCTCAACACTGCTTTGATCTCTTTATATGTACATCATGGCTGGTCGAGGTGGTGTCTGTAATCTATAATAACATGTTGTACATAGTAGAGAGAGCACTTTTTTCAAGATGATTAACAAAGGATCTTCCATATAGCTACTGTTCTTGAAAAACAGTTCATGCCAGAGAACCAAGTTTTCTCCAGTGGTGTTACTATTGCCCAAAGAACTGTCAGCTCAAAACTTGCTTTCTTACTGTCAGAGTTCCAATGTGATGGTGGCAGGCACAATCCGAGAGACACAACTCCATGAACAAACCAGCCAAAAGTCATAACTGGTGAATCTTGGCTTATTGTGTCATTTCTACTGCCATGTAATCACAAAGACCTTATTTTATACCCTCATGTGAACATGCACACTAACCCAATTCAAAATACTGATGTATTAGTTTAGGTTGAGCAGTATAACCCTCCTCTCAGTCAGAGTCCCCACAAGATATGACCCTTCACCTTTCACCCAGGAAGCAGAATGCCAGAGGGATGTTATCCACGTGGGCTTTGAGAAAACCAGTCAGAGTTAGCTCTTTGTGTGTTTTCCTTTTTTCTTTTTTAAAAATTAGGATAAAATATTCCTAATATAAAGTTAACACTCTTTCCAAAACTGTCAGCATCACAAACAGAAATTCTGTAACCATTAGGCAACACCCATTCTCTTGGCTCTATGAAATTGTTTGTAGTGGGATGATGTAGTATGTATCTTCCATTACTACAATATCTTCAAGTTCACCAGCGTTGTAGCATGTGTCAGAATGTTATTCTTTATTGAAGCTGAGGTAGTATTCCTTTGTGTGTCCAGATCTTGTTCTAAATTCTGCTGTGCTGAGTCTGGGGGCAGCCCACCGGCATCTCTGAGAATCTCCATTGGCAGAGGACGACCATCTGTATCTTAAGTGATAATGAGGTGATCCACTGATCTTTCTCAGCACCATACTTGAATGTAGTAATGCATCGGTGAGCTCCTGGAAGGCTTGGAAAAAGGAAGAGGAAGGTTGAAATGATCAGCCTCCCTTTCTGCTCTTTAAAAACACCTTATCTCGCTAAGTTCTCAATGCCTATTAGCCAAGGTTCTGTTTCCTGACCCCTAACCTTACCATTTCTAACCCAGTACCTTCCATTCACCCCCTCCCCATCCTCCACTAAATCATATAGAGATAAATTGTACTCTAGGAATATTCCTTTTCCTCTTGGGTTGGTATCTTGAGATGTGAGCTTAAAAGTTGAACTCCCAAAGAGAAAGAAATCTTGTATCTGTCATTCCCAACTTTGGGATTAGTCCCTCACCATCATTCCCATAAACCCTAGTATTCACTTTACAGTTTCACCTCACTTTATGATACCCATCTCAGTCACTCACTCTCCGGCCTTGCTAGACATGACTTCAGGTAACTTTTGACATTTGTAAAACGTCAGGACGGTTGTGAGTGTAAGAACATTTACCACCAAGGATGCTGAGTCTGACACAAGCTTCAAGAGCTAATCCAAAAGGTTATCCAAGAAAACATCTTTTAAGACAATGTCTCATTTGTGTAGCCTAGGCTGGCCTCGAACTCTCGATCCTCTTGCCTCAGCCCTCTGTGTGCTGGCATTACAAACATGCACTGCCACATCTGGCTCTCAATGTTTAAAGCACTTGTAAGCATCATAGAAATAGGATCACCTTGAAAGAGATGGAAATCATTTGGACAAATAAGTTGCAGTGCATTTTACAAACAGCCAACCTGCCTGACAGTACTGATATACTCCATGCTTTGAAACTGGGCAGCCCAACACCGGGCCTGGGAGGAAGTCACATTGACAGCCGGCTGCAAGAGCCCACAAGAATCAGCAGTTGCTCAGAGCTTCAAAAGTCCCTGTCATTTTTTCATCTTCTTAATTCATCAGTGATATTTTGCAATGAAGTTTGTATTCCTCATCTTGTTCTCTAGGGTAGAATTTCTTCTCTAAATGAAGGAGGCTGTGATATAAAATCTTTAATTCCCTGTTGGTTCAGAGATTTGGTTGGGGGGGGGGTGTTGTTTGGTTGTTTGGTTTTATTTTACTTTTTCAAAATGTAGTGGGAATGGATGTATAGATGGCGCTGGTTTATCAAGATGGGTTCTGCCATGTACTTCCACCTTCCAAGAAGAAGTGCCGCCATAGCTTCAAAGCCAAGGCTCAATTCTCCTAGTGAATTGTGGTCATTGAGGGAGAGAGAATGAAGACAGCAAAAGGGAAACAGCTGCTAAATCTTGCACACTCCCTAGAACTGTTCAACGGTTCCCTCCCTATGTGATGGGCAATCTCATTGGCCAGCTCAGGATGGAAAATACTGATGTTAGCCAAGTGTGGTGGCACATACATGTAATCCTACCATTGCTGGAGGGGTGGGGGTGGCACTGAGGCAGGAAGACCATAGCTTCAAGGCTAACCTGGGCTACATAACAAGGCAATCTAAGAAAAAAGATACTGATGGAAAAATGCTTAAAACAGCGCCTGGAGAAAATAGACCAGGCTTGCTATGGTTCGACTTAGGATTTTATCTGTTCACAAGGGTGCAAAATCAATATGCATCCAGTAGAAACTGAACTCTGAATTTCAAGTTGGATCTTTTCCCTGAGCTAGTAATAAAGGTCCTCTCTCAAGGATGCTACGTGGTAACAGTAGTTCCTAGTCAACCACAAGGAGACCAGAAAATAGCTGACACTCTATAGTTGATGGTGTTGCTAATTCTGATGCTTGGTAGATAAAGTGGATGGATTTATTTACTTTTTTTTTTGTTTGGCTGGTTTTAGGTAGCACTGAGGATTAAACTCAGGACCTCATGCCCTGAGGCACTCTACCCCTCTGAGCCATGCCTCCAGTCTGACTTTTTGCTGGTTATTTTAGAGACAGAGTCTCAAAGACTTTTCTGTCTAGGCTACATTTTAATCACAATCCTTAGTATCTCAGCCCTTTGAATACTAGGATTACAAGCATGAGCCACTGGGACCTGGCATAATTTATTTTTTTACATAACACCATTTTTAACTTTGGTTGGTTTATTGGAAGGAAACCATAGCATAAATATGGAGCATCTGTCTGTGTTTGTTAAATATATTTTGTTAAGTAAGGCATCTTCTTATCAATGCAACCTAAATTGTGGAGAAAGGAAGTTACTGGGTTTGACATCTCTGCCAAAGAGCAAGTACTATTTGTTGATTTAACAAAATTGCTAGGAAATGAGACAGAGTCTCTATCAGCAGACTCTAACCCTTCACTCAGCTGCTGGCTCCCTGGTATCCTATCCTTGTTCCCTGGTAGCTTATTCCTTTTTGGCTTCTAGAACTCATTTGCATTGATGTACAGGGCTTGTACTTGGAGACATTCCATTGACCAGTGATGGAAATTTGTGCTTGCCTCTTTAGGGGGAGAAGTAACCTCTCCTCACTTAACCCTTTCCCTCTTGTGTTCTTTCCCTAGCCCAAGCTTTTGGCCAAGGAGCTTCTGGACCTCGTGGCTTCTCATTTCAACCTGAAGGAGAAGGAATACTTTGGAATTGCATTCACAGATGAGACGTAAGTGCTGCCCAAAGCCCGCAGACCCCGAATAGGACAGAGCCAAGCCTCACACTGAGCTGTGTCCACCGTGAGAAGTGAAGTCAGCTGCAGGCCACTTGGGTCCCATGGTGTGGGGTCAGTCCAAGTTCATCATCAGAGTTTCCAAAGTCTTGTGACCGTGGCTGGAGCAGACAAAGGATATAATTAGGGTGACACTAATATTAAGAGGTAATATTTGCAGGTAAACTCATAATCAAATAGGCTCATGTTGAGATAAAAAAGGCTGGTTTTTTTTGGGGGGGTGGTTGTTGTTGTTGTTTTTTAAGTGGATCTGCCAAGGTTTGGTTTTCATTAAAGTTAAATGAAAAACTTCTGGAAATTAAACATTTCTCTCCAGTATTGGAATAACAGGAAGTAAAGTTGATGATAAGTTCAAAATGAAACCTAACTGGGCCAGTCTCTGTTTGAGCTGGAATAGAATATAAGTCAAAAATTGCCATCACTCATCTGATTAAAAATATGTTTGTGCTGGGCATTGGTGCCTCATGCCTGTAATCCTAGCTACTCAGGAGGCTGAGATCTGAGGATGGAGGTTAGAAGCCATCCCAGGCAGACAAATCCGAGAGACTCTTCTCTCCAAAAGCGGAGGTGTTGCTCAAGTGGTAGAATGTCAGCCATGAGTGAAAAAGCTAAGGAAGAGTATGAGGCCATGAGTTAAAGCCCTCTACAGCGCGCGCACACACACGCACGCACGCACGCATGCACGCACACTTTCAACAGTCTCTCATTCTGGCTCAACAAAATGGTATTTCCCAATACAAGGAATATCTTGATTCAATTTCTGGCTTTTAATTTTTTCTAATCAAAGAGGACCGTGACTGTCTGCCAAAACTCTTAGATAAGGATAAGGTAGGGTCTGGGCAGGAGATCAGGGGAGAGTCCACACCAGCATGTGTGCGGCCCAGGGTTCAAACCCCAGCACTAGAAATAGAAAATCCTTTGTAAATAGTAAATCCTTTGTAATTCTTTTTCCTCAGTGTGCTTACATGCACACATGCCTTTCCAAATTCTTAGAGCTGTGAAAATAGCTTCCTAACATGCTCATAGTTTGGAATGATGGTAATGGAGGGGCACAGCAATGGGAGAAGGGGGGCTTAGGCCACTCCCTCCCCCAAACCAAGTAGGACCACAGAGGTAGGACCAACTCTGAATCCTTGCTGATCAGCCAGAGAATGCCCATCTGTGACTCTTAGTTTTGGGGACACTGCAAATGGACAAAGTGGTCAAATGATTTATTATACAGAGAGAATCACGGAATAAAAGAGAATGTAAGAGGCTGGGAAGGTGGCTCAGTGGTATAGTGCTTGTCTTGCATGCATGAGGCCCTGGGTTCGATTCTTCCGCACCACATAAGCAGAAAAAAAAAGCCGGAAGTGGCACTGTGGCTCAAGTGGTAGAGTGCTAGCCTTGAACTGAGGGACAGTGCCCAGGCCCAGAGTTCAGGCCCCACGACCGGACCAAAAAAAAAAAAAAAAAGAGAGAGAATGTAAGTTGAAGCTATACTAGACAACTTGGAATATATTGTCACCCTATGGACAAGTGACCTTTTGGGGGCAGTGGTGGGTTCAGAAGTGGGTGAAAGGAGTCATATGTCCAAGGCCAGCTCCCTGAGCTGACACCCCTAAGGCCTCTCCCCCACACCAAGCCTTAGATAGTGGCACACAGGAAGATGCCCTTCAGGTGTCTAGAGCACCCCCTGGAGGTAGAGCTGGGTCAGCATAGCTGTAAGAAGAGCAAGCGGGGTGGTAATAAAGGCACCCAGCAGGAAATAAAGAAAAACTGCCCTTAAACAACTTCACATCTAGAACAATTACTTTCTCAAACGCCAATGTTTTCTACCCTTTCTCTTGAGTCCCACCGTAATGCCCTTAATTGCTCTCTGTGCTGTTCTTCATGATTGGAAGGAAACCGTAAGGTTCAGTGAATCATGTCCCCATTGTTCCCATTTCCCAAGCAGAGTTACTCAACCCAAGGAGTCCATGAATTCTACACGAGACCCAGTTTGACTTCCCTTTTGAATCAACAAGATTCAAAGGTAACATGTTACCTTGGGCCAAAGAGGAAATCCTGCGTGCTCTGATTTCAGACTCCTCCCGACTGTTGGCCATAAGTAATCAGTGGCAAGACGGAGAGCCAGTCTTCTCCCAAGGGAGATGGGTGCATGTCCATGCACGCATGCAGGTCAGGCTTGCACGAGGTTGGCAGAGGAACAAAACTCTCCTGTCACAGTCCAGAGAACTCACAGCCTCTTGAATCACTCCTCCTCCCCTTCCTACTCCCCCTCCCCCAAAGCTGTAATGCAGATGACAGGAATGCTCCATGATGGACACTCAGCTATTAGTGGAGAAGGGGTTCTCACATAGCTGACCTCTAGCCATAATCCTCCCCATCTGAGCCTCTTCAGTAGCTAGGATTATAGGTGTGAGCCACCCCTCATCTGGCTTTATTTAATGTAGTAACTTTTAATTTAATTTATTTTATTTTTTGGGTCCGGTCATGGGGCCTGAACTCTGGGCCTGGGCGCTGTCCCTCAGCTCTTCAGCTCAAGGCTAGCACTCTACCACTTGAGCCACAGCGCCACTTCCGGCTTTTTTCTTTTTGCTTATGTGGTGCTGAGGAATCGAACCCAGGGCCTCGAGCATGCAAGGCAAGCGCTCTACCACTGAGCCACCTTCCCAGCCCTTTTAATTTTAAAAATAGACTTGCAAAGATGGTGGTTTCACCAGCTTCCCCAAATGCCAGCATCTGACGCACCATGTCACATTTATCAAAACGAAGACATTCACGTGGGTGGTAAACTAATTAAAACACAGATCTGAACAGTTTCCTATGAATGCCTTTTTGTCTGTTCCAGGATTCCATTGCATTCCGCCTCCTTTTATTATTATTTTTTAACTAATTCTGTCCAAATAAAAGGAGATACAGGTGGCCTATTATCTAGCAATAACTCGGTCATGTGATCAAGGTTCAATCAAGGACATCTGGGCCACCTTTAAAACATTCAGTGTTTCAGAGTTAAGTAAGAACATACAATGTTTTGAGCCAAGTAAGAGCCTTCTGTAAATCCCATCTCAAGATACTGATTTACGCAGTTAGAGTCATGGTTCTCAACCCCGACTTCACATTGGAGCACCTAGAATACCATATGAAAAGTCATTGTCCCCTGGGTGCCACTGGCTCATGTCTGTAATCCTAGCCATTAAGGTGGCTGAGACTCAGATCACAGTTTGAAGTCAGCCCAGCAAGAAAAGTCCATGAAACTCCATCTCCAAAATAACCAGCAAAAAGCCAGGCTGAAGGGTTAGCTTAAGTGGTAGAGTGCTAATTCAGCAAGAAAATTAGTGAGCCTGAGGCCTTGAGTTCAAAACCCAGTAAGGGGAGAAAAACAAACAAAAAGCCAATACCTAGGACTTCCTCCTAGAAGTTCTGATTAAATTGCCCCAGATGTGGCCTAAGAGTTGGGAGTTTTCAAAGCTACCTCAGGTAGTTCTAATGTAGCCAAATTTACAAACCTTGTTCCAGAGAGAAAAAAAGTGTAAGTTTCTTCTGCTCCATTCCTCCAGATCTAAGGAGAAAACTTGACTCCACTTCAACCTTGCATTGGAAGGGGAGAAGGGGGGACTTAGAGGGAGGGGTCAGTGCTATCAGTGTCTCGGGACCTGCAAGATTGTACACAACTCTAAAGTTCAGGCTTTGTGGAAGTGGTGCTGTAGCTCAAGCAGTAGAGCGCTCGCCTTGAGCTGAAGAGCTGAGGGACAGTGCTTAGGCCCAGAGTTCAAGCCCCACAACTGACCAAAAAAAAAAAAAAAGTATACCAGGCTTTGTGAACCCATGCATACAACTAGCATAGCCAAGGTTTCCATTTCTCAGCAGTTAGAAAAAGTCATTTTTCTTTTTTATTATTTATTTTTTTATGAGACAAGGTCTCACTGCGTAGCCCAAACTAGATTAAAACGAATGCTGGGATTACAGGCATGAGCCACTGTGTCCAACCTACATTTTATTTTTGAAGTCTTCCCATTGCTGTCTTAATTCCAGAGTTTTAATTGTTTCTTTAAATTCTTGGCTGGACAAGGTCAGAGGAGCCCACTTGCAAAAGCCATAATCAGAATTTTAGACTTGTCAGTAAATACAACATATCTCAAACTGGAATAGTGATTGCTGTACTTCACTTAAATTTTAATCTTAATCCCCTGTCAGGTATTTTATGCATTGCTCATTAAATGATATAGATGAGGGAACTTTTAAGATATATCAAAAAAAACTTGGCCATTATTACATATTTTAAAAATCAAGTGCAGTTGGAACACATTTTTAGGTCCCAGTTAAGAAGATGAGTAGTTCTTATCCTATTATTTCATCCCAGACCCCTTTGAAATTTGTTAAGAGCTTATGCTCCTTCTCTTCCACTAAAGTTTATGTACAAGGCTTTTGCTCAAAGTTGTAGAAAGGTCACAGAGACCCAAACACCAGGGTCATCGTCTGAGTGCCCTGAAACTAACCAGGTAAGGATTTTTTTAGCATCCTGTGTCTTCATTAATTAAATCCCTTGGTTGGTCTTTGTGTCCCTGAGGGACTAGAACTCGGGGGTCATCAGCTGAGGCCCCCACAAAGGCTCTATTTGATGAGCACTGCCAGCCGCAGGCTTAGCTACCATTTAAAGTACAAAGGCCATGTTCTAATTGTGGTAGGAAGACCCAGCAGCAGCAATCGTGGGAATAGAGTTTATTTAGAAATGGGCTTAGCGTTTCTAGTCCTTAACACTTGGCTGGTGGGACAGGAGAACATGAATGGTCCCAACTTCTGCCTCGGTCAGCCCAGCAGGTGAACTTGATGCATAGCTGACTCCACGTCCCCTCTCTGCACCCCACGAAAGAGTGCTGCACCATTAGACATCACTGCGAACAGCATCAGCACCTTATATTTAGTAATCCAAGGAGATCTGGACGTATCTCTTCCTGTGTGTAGTGAAGATGAATCAAGGCGAATGGCACCAACCAAGGATAAATGGGGATGATCTTGGATTCCTCTTCCATCTTTCTGTCCCAATGCCACACTATTGAGGGAACTTGAGTCCTCCATAGATGAGCAGAGTGAACTCTTCACGTCGGATTTTTTTTTTTTGGTGGCAATTGTGGGGCTTACTTAGGGCCTAGGTGTTGTCTCCCTAAGCTTCTTTTGCTCAAGGCTAGTACTCTACCACCTAAATCACAGCTCCACTTCCAGCTTTTTTTAGAGTTTATTAGATATTAGAGTCTCATGGTCTTTCCTGCCTGGCTGGCTTTGAACTGCAATCCTCCAATCTCTGCCTCCTGAGTAGCTAGGATTATCAGCGCCCAGCTAGGATCCTTTGTTTCAGACAGGAACAGTGTTTACACTTGGTGTCAGCTCCTGAACCTACAAGAATATGCATCTGTGGGGCACAATGTAAGGGAATTTATTCTGAGTAAATATGGAATTCACTTCAGATTCACTGCTAACCACTGGAGATCAGAAATAACTGACCTTTGCCCCACCGCCCCCCCTCCTTGTTGAGTCTATGTTTATAGTTTAGGAAATAATTAATAAAACATAGTGTAGGAGGGGTTATAATAAAAACATGGCATGAACTGAAGATTACACAGTAGAACAAACAACGCCTCCAGAATGAAAAACTTAAAGCCAGGAATCTCAGTTGGTCTGCAGAGCCTATGATTTAGAAATAGTGTCTCCCAGCTACATACCCTGCCTTAACCATTCTCTGGGATTTGAGGCTAAATCGGGACCCCTGAGCCATTGTTGATGAGCCTGGGCATCATGTGGAATGAAGGACACTAAACAGTTAAACATCCTAACATCCGGTGATAACCTGTAAGAATTTCACAGCCTTATTTTGGCTTTCCCCAAAATAGCCTGGCTACAAGAAAATCCTCCTAGAGGTTCAACATGCAGTCCTCTCTCCTTGAGTCCTGAGAAGAGATTGGTTCAGACAGATGCATCCCACCTGCACCCTCCACTAACCCTCCACAAAGCTCTCCCTGAGGCCATCGAAGGAACCAATACTTGAACCAAAAACAAAGCAAAACATAAAAAATCCATTTGTAGTATGTGTCCAAACCCAAAGCAATCTGTTAAATAAATGCATTCAATTTCTGTTGCCCCAAAGCAATTGCACATTTATTACAGACCCAATAGTCTGACCTCCTGCCTCAGTAAACCAAGGAGACCGCCACTTGCTCAGCTTTAAAGATGGTTATCAGTGAGCACTAATGAAAATGCTTTTGAGTTTCTGTGGGCTAGCAGCCTTTTGTTCTTTTGGCCTGGTGATTGGCAGAGACACTAATGTGCATGGTCAAATGAAAACTATCAATGGCAGCCATGAAACGAAGGAAGGCACCAGGTTCTCTTATTTCCGCTACACACAGGAAATGCTTCTTTGACTTTTGTTCCTCATCGCTAATGCAAAGAGGAGAAAAGGGTTTTGAGGGAGGCACTTGATGTCAGGATTGAAAATGTTATGTAGGATGGGGGGAAGCTTTGGTCCCAGTGTAAGAATTGTGGCTTCCTACCTAATAAAATGAGCAAAAAATAAATGCATTTGAACACGTCTTACTACAAGCAGAACCAGTGGCTTCAGAATTCTGGTTTCTGTTTTACTTTTGGCTTTTGCCCAGATACTAGCAGTTACCCCAAGGGACTTGAGAGTCAGTTACTTGTCCTTTTTGTCTCTGCCCTTGAGACGGTCACAGCTCATAAATGGAGGAGTCACTTCCTTCCTCCTGAGCATCCGAGTACTCTGGGCGTGGGCCTTGTCTCTCCAGCAGAGCCACACAAGCGTATGTGTCACACCAATCGTCCCAGGACTGAAGTGGAAGGAAGAAATGGGAAGTAAGGAAGGCCATTTCTCCTCAGAAGCTAGCTATTCCAGCTTAGAGCTGTTCTTGCCTCCTTGATCTGATTCCTGGTCATTTTTGTATATTTATTTTTAGCCATTCAATTGCCTAACAAAGATTAAACCAGCACACATCCAGAAACAAAGGAATTTCCAGTTAAATGAGTTCATTTGCAGCCAACTTTGGTAGCACACACCCTTAGACCCAGCACCCATGAAGCTTAGGCTGGAGGTTTGAGACTCCAGGCCAGCCTTGGCAAGAGCGTGAGACCGTGTCTCAATTTATTTTCTGATTTTTTTTTTTTTTTGTCGGTCATGGGGCTTGAACTCTGGGCCTGGGCACTATCCTTCAACTCTTCAGCTCAAGGCTAGCACTCTACCATTAGAGCCACAGTGCCACTTCTGGTTTTCTGGTGGTTAATTGGAGATGAGTCTCGCAGACTTTCCTGCCCAGGCTGGCTTTGAACCACAGTCCTCAGATCTCAGCCTCCTGAGTAGCTAGGATTACAGGCGTGAGCCACTAGCACCCAACTAAAAATGTCATTCTTTAAGGAGGTTTGTTATGGGAGTACAGTGAAGGAATCAACCCACAGATCTGTCCTTTACCAATGTGGTTGGAGGAGGATGGAAGAAGGCAAACCCAACGGGGTGCCTGGGTTCCATCTCAGCAGCTGGCAAACCACTGGGTGTGGTGAGGATTTCTCAAGCCTGGATCGTCTTCTGATCTTGAGGCTGTGTGTGTGAAACATTCTGATCTTTGTAACTAAGTATGGAGATGGTGGTGGACGATTGTCTCCTTAGGAGGACACAAGCCTGGGGAGAAGGGACCAGGTCTGTTGCCCTCACTGCTGCTGCTCTTCCAGAGGATGTGGTCAGAGTGTTTATGGGAAAGAAAGAAAGATGGGGAGGAAACCATGAACACAGGAGTGTGATCACCATCATTTTATGGAAGTAAACCTCTATTCCCCGCTGAACTCTCTCCCTGTTAGGCTCCTTCTCCCCAACTGAGATTTGAACTTGGAGTCTCATGCTTCTAAACAGAGGCTCTACCACTTAAGCCACACCCTCCGTCCATATATGGTCCTACTTTCCAGATGGCATGTTTGGCCAGAGGCTAGATTATGACCATGATTCCCCTACCTCCACCTTCCAAGTATCTGGGATTATAGACCTGAGCCACCATTCCTGGCCTTCTGTGGCTTTTAATGAATTAGAATGGACATAGAATAAACTGTATGTATTAAAGTGTACGATTTGGTTGGTTTACCAAGAGGCCGTGAAAGCTGTCATCACAATGAAGGTAATCAACAACCATCACTCCTGAAGTGTCTCCCCATGGCCCCTCCCTCACACCCCCAATATGATTTGTCACTATAGATCAGTTTGTATTTTCTAGAGCTTTACATACTTGAAGTTGTATAGTATTTATTTATACATATACATATATATATATATATATATATTATAAAGGTGAGGTACAGAGGGGTTACAGTTACATGTCAGGTCATGTGTACATTTGTTTTGGGACAATGTCACCCCTTCCCTTGCTCTCTCCCAGTTTTCCCCTTTGTCCCCACCTACAAGTTGTATAGTTCATTTTCAGCATAGTATCTAGTGAGCTGCATTTGTTCACACTTTGTCCCTCCATTTCTGTGCCCCTTGCCCTCCTAAAGAAAAATAAATGAACAAGACAAAAATAAAAAGAATAAAAACCTCATTTCCACTTCCTATCTTTTTGTCGACTTCTTTCTCTCAGCATATTTTTCAATTCACCCAAGCCAGCAGCACATTTTCTTTAGTACTGCATAGTATTCTACTGGGTGACTCTATCATGATTTGTCTATCTAGTTGTCTACTGGTCAATGTTGGGATGGTTCTGAATGTGGGCTATTCCAGTGTCTAAGAAATGTCTGGGAAGTGACTGCCAAGAGTCTAGGAACACGGTCATTACAGCATTGTGGGATAAATGCTTTCCAGGGGAGGAGGGGAACATGGGAGAGTAGAATGGCTCAGCCATATGCAGGTGTCAGCTTCATGTTCGAAGGAACTGTGGTTCAATACTTAACCCAGGTACTTCCGGTAGGGGTTATTGAAGAGTGTGAATGTGTCCTTAATTTGCATTGAGGCCTCTGGGAGAAGCAGCGGCCAGCCTCGAGTGGTGGGAAGGGGGCTCATGGAATCAGGAATCTAGCAAACAGGCAGTGGGCGGAGCTCCCGGTGGTACCTCTCCTGCCCATGCTGTCCCTGGGTGGTTCTCTTGTGCCTCTCTAAACAGACAGCAGCCAGACAAAGGTGCCCAGGTAGCTGCCATCTAGCATGTTCTGTCCACATGCACCCCTGTCCCAAAACAGCACAGCAAACCCACCACCTTTACCTACTTGTCACTCTTCTCCTCAGGGGACACTTCAACTGGCTTCAGCTAGACCGGAGGGTGCTGGAACATGATTTCCCCAAGAAGTCGGGACCCGTGGTGTTGTACTTTTGTGTCAGGTATGTGCATGTGGGCTCACACTTAACCTCTCTCTCTCTCTCTCTCTCTTTCTCTCTCTCTCGCTTTCTCTGTCTCTCGCTCTCTCTCGGCTATGAATGAGCCAAAGGCTGGGGAGAACAAGTGTATCTTGGTTTCTGCTAAAGGAGAGTGTGTGCAAGACATGGCAGAGAGAGGTGTGAGCACACCATACTTGTCCCTGTGGGAGCTGTGAACACAAGAGGCAGGAGTACTTCGGGTGCGCAGGGATGAGTGTGCAAGGTGTGTGTGAGATGTCTGTGTAGGGAACATGTCGGGATGTGTGCTCTGACACATACCTTTGTACTGTTTTTGTGTGTGTGGCAGCACGAGGATTTGAACTCAAGTCCTTGCACTTGCTCTGAGGGTCCTCGACCACATCAACCATGACCCAGCCCGTTTGCATGCTCATACTAGGGTGCATGTGTGACATGAAGATTAAAAACTTTACACGTGTTTTGGGGTTACTCTGGGGGAGGCTGAGGGAATGGTGGAAAAGGACCATACAGCTCAAACTAAACTGAGTTTCCCACCATAGCACACATCCCGGGGAATTCTGGGATGCTTTTCTTGGTGTCATGTGAAGTGCTGTAGCGGAAGTCTGGATTTCTGTCATAAATGCCACTCGAGTATGTAGGAATGTAGGAGTTTGATTCCAGACAGGATGGTGTGACCGCAGATCCCAGGTTGATCCAGCCTTGTGTAATAGAGACCAGGGCAGTTCTTGTCCTCTCATCCATTCCGACAGCTTCAGTTCATCAGTGTTTGCCAGGGAGCCATTATGTGTCACATCATTTCCAGACAGTCTCCTGAAGCCGACCCCAGGACTTACCCGCTGCCAAAGTCCAACTCATGGCAGAATTGGAGTCCCCAGATCAGGATCTCTGAGCACCCTGTCTGTGAAGCCACCCCGCTTGCTTGCTCTTCCTAGAACTTTGGCTCTAACTCCTGCAGCAGCATTCCACGGTTGTCATCGTCATCTCCCTTTGATGATGGTGCTGGGGATCGAACCCAGAGCCTTGAGCATGCTACCACTGATCACAGCCACAAGGGGACATTTCCACTCGCACCCGACACATAGACTCCGCTCCTCAAAAATGTTAGAATCTTTTAAAATCCCGAGCAGACACACATGCCATGTACAACTCATTCTCCCTGAAGAGCAGAGTGAAGACTGCAATCGCAGGCGCAGCCTGCCTGAGTCCACAAGACAGTCTGTAAAGTCTGCCCTCAAGGGTCCATTGAACAGGCTGGAGTGTCTCTCTCTCCCTCTGCTGCGGGATAAAGTGTAAGCGTCGTGCTGAATGCCATCTTGATTTGCTTAGCAGCTTCGAAGGTAACAGAGCTAGCCCAGCCATTTTCATTGGTGATAGGGACCTTGCAATGACAAGTTCTCTTTAATGGCATCTCAGTTTCTCAGATGAAGGGCAAAGAAACCTGAGAAAGCAAAGATTAATGTTTGCAAGAGGAGAAGCAGGCAGGAGTGGGCAAGAACAGAGTGGAAGGGAAGCAGTTCATTTACCTGTAATCCCTGTAAAGGATTGACAGAAGATCCGACCCACCTACCCCACCTGCCCCGCCCTTCTTCCAAGGGCTAGTTCTTCTCTAAGATCTGACTGGTTGTGCTGAGAATCAGTAAGGAGACATTTCATTCTATACACAAGCCTTAACACAATTCCTGAGAGTCTGCATGCCTTATGGGTTTTTGTTGTTATTTTTCTCTTTTGTTTGTGCTGGTTCTAGGGCTTGAAGTCAGGGCCTAACATAGTCCCTTAACATTTTCACTCAAGGCTAGCACTCTACCACTTCAAGCCACAGCTCCACTTTTGGCTTTTTGTGGTTAATTGGAAATAAGAGTCTCATAGACTTTCCTTGCCCAGGCTGGTTTTGACCCTCAATCGTCAGGTCTCAGCCTCCTGAGTAGCTAGGATTACAGGCATGAGCCACAGGCGCCCAGATTTCTGTTGTTTTTATTTGTTTAATAGTTATTCTAATGATGCTTTGAGTTTCCAATCTATAGGCAAAGTTTCCCTACAAGAGGATCTTCCAATACTGGTAAGCTGACCCCCAAGTCCTACCCTCTCTCCCTGTACAAAGCCAAATACACCACAAGTTCAATCTGCCAACCTTCACAGCAGAGGAAATTGTTAGGAAAACACAGGCTACAAGCTCTTTTAGAGGGCACTGGGTCAACATAGCCCAGCAGTGATCAATGAGCACTTTTCTCTAGGAGACAATTCTACGGAAAACCAACCTAGGAACACAATTTTTAAAAAAATGGTTCAAGACCGATTAAATGCACAACTGTAACTGCAAGCTGCCTGCTGGTATGCTTTGTATTATGGGATTCAAACCTAACCTCCCGCCTAGGGCTAGTCCCCAATACAGTCACAACTGCCTACAAAATCCCATTACTTTTTTTTTGAGAAACAGCTTTTTTAAAAAGGGCAGCTTTAAAACATACAGGAGGCTGTGCAGGCAAACTACTGGAGTGTTGGTGGTAGGAAGATTATGGCTAAGAGACAAAGATAGCAAGACCCCATCTCAAAAATATGAACAAGGCTAAGCACTAGTGGCTCACACACCTTTAATCCTAGCTACTCAGGAGACTGAGATCTGCAGATCAAAGTTCAACTCCTCCCAGTACAGTTTAAGAAAAAAAAAATTACACGTTAAAAAAAGTAGGATCAGGTGGGATTTTCTCCAAACCTGTTTCATCCCTTCCCACTCTGTTAATGGGGCATCTTACTAGGTAGACCAGGCTAGCTTCGAACTCATCATGATTATCTTCACTCAGCATCCTGGATGCTTGGATTATAGGTCCTCCAGTGACCTTTCTAAACCAAAGCACACTGAGCTCTTAGCAGCATAGTGAGCCATCCTGTCCTTCCCATGCGTGAACTCCGATGCCTCTGGCCCTTGATACCTTCAGTCAGTGTCAAAAAAACCTCTCATTTCAAGTCTGGAGTCCATAGGCCCTGCTAGGCCTGAGTGCACAATGCAGGTAGAACCCAATGACATCGTTGCTGTTCTACCAGGCTCCTGACATCACACTCCTCCTCCAATGGCAACTCACTGTCTCTAAGATACCTCCCCCACTGCGCAACACCCCTCAGAAGGTGGGCATCAACCTGGGTTTCCTCTGCTCTGCCCCACCCAGACCCTCCTCTCCTCCTCTCCCCTGCCATACCTCTTCTCCCAGCCCCAGCTCTCTGAGCACATCCCTCTGCCCTCATCCAGGCCTTCCTCAATCTTTCCCAGACTTGAAATCTCCTTGGTCATCTCAGCCCCTCGCTTTGACCTCTTTCAGTCTCTACTGGAGGAGACCCCTGAGCATCCGTCTAGAGTTCACCCGATCCTGGATCAGGATTCTTTCTGGCTTCCCATTTTCCTTCATATAGCCTTAGCCTGTCCTCTGATGCCTGATTTCTACCTTCTGGGCCATTCTCGCCTCTCCCCACCCCCTCACACCCAGCAGTATGTGCTTGAGAGGCTTTTTACCTCAAGCCATTACCCTGCTTGAAATTTGAGGACAATGACTCTCATATTGTTCACCTCCCCCCAAAAAATAATAAATAGGGCAAGAAAAAATAGAGACAATAGAGCTAGTTACCAAAGCAAACCTTTTTTTTTCTTTTTTGGCAGTACTGGGATTTGACCTCAAGGTGTTCTCCCACTTGAATCATGCCTCCAGCCTTTTTTTGCTTTAGTTTCTTTTCAGATCTCATTTATTCCCTAGGCCAACCTGGACTACAATCCTCCTATTTACATTTCTGTGTAGCTGGGTGGGGTGGCAGGCATGCCACTATACCCAGCTATGGTTTGAGATAGGATCTGGAGAACTTTTTGCCTAGGATGGCCCTGAACCATGATCCTCCAGATCCTCCCATACAGTTGGGATTATAGGCATGAACCAGTGTGCCAGGTGGGTACATTACGTGTTTGAAGGGACGACTTTATACTCAAGACTATTCTTTGTGTTGAATTCTTCTTCCCTTTAACCCTGGCCAGCTTACTCTGCTTTTAGGAAAATAAACAGATTAGCTTTGTCTCTTCAAACGTTGAGTTTCACAAATAAACAAATGGGAGTGAACAACAGGAAAGAGACCGCATGGAGATGCCTGGAGGCTCTTCGCTGGAGGAAGATTCTCCAGGCAAATCTGAGTCCGTGGACTCTGCTGACAGAAACACAGATGCTACTTCCGCTTTCTCCCAAGAACAATGGCGGCATAGGTCTGAAATGAAGTGCCTGCTAACCAAAACTTATCAGAGTTTGGCGAAGACATCAGAGCCTCCGAGACACCAAGCATCCAAGATGTGTGGCCACAGAAAGCCACAGCTTATCATTGTCATTATTGCCGCTCTGTTGGGCCACCAACAATCAGCCATTCCAAATGTGACATTTGTGTTCATCACAAAATGAAGTCAGTGGCCCATGTAATTAACACTTGCTGTAAATACACAGTGAGTCTCAACTGCCCGCGGGTGGCTGCAGAGAGAGGCTCAGGAGCTGGCCGGAGGGGACCTGGCTGATGTCATTTGGCTGGACGGAGTTCAGTCTGTTGCAGTTAGAAGCTTCCTTGAATTAAAGAAGGGGCTGTGACTGCCCACTGTGGTTTAATGCACTCAAACATGTGAATACGGAGCATGCGCTCTTCCAGGGCTAGCACAGGTGTAACATGGCTCCTAGGATTCAAGGAGCATCATGGCGGAGTTTGTTCTCAGCCTAGAAAGGGTGCTCCCTTCAAATCCAGAAGACAACTGCAAACCAAGTGCGGGTGATGCACTCATGCCTGTAATCCTAGCTACTGGGGAGGCTGAGATCTGAGGATTGTGTTTCAATGCCAGCCGGGGCAGGAAAGTCCACGGGACTCCTATCTCTAGTTATCCACCAAAAAGCCACAAGTGGAGCTGTGGCTCAAGTGATAGCATACTAGCTTTGAGTGAAAAAGTTGCCTAGGCCCTGAGTTCAAGCCCTAGGACCAACACACACACAAAAAGCCTTCGACTCAGCATTGTGTAACATTCCTTTGGTGTGTAGGTATCATGGGGTGGGCAGATGAAGAGGTGTCCACTGTGGGGAAGAGTTCATTCACCGTTACCAAGAGGAGGGGGCCCGTGACCACTATACCCTGTTGGCAGGGCCTTGCTGTGAATTACCCAGAGGGATAGGAGAAAGGGAGAAGCGAGCCCAAGTCTTGTCTGTGGTCTCTGCATGGAGGACCAGTGAGACAGGTATGCAGGTGGAGGAACAGATGGTTTTGTCATGCTCAAGGCTGCAGGACTGCCCCTTGGGTCTGGTCTGCATCCTGTAACCTGCCGGTTGGAGGCATCTCTCTGGATTGGTTGGTTGCCTATGAGAGTCCTGTTTAATGATGAGGAGCTTGCTACCTCTAGGAATTGGCCAACCTGGGAGCATTGCCCCCTCCTGGGCCAGCAAGACCTTCTTTCATTTCCCTGGGTCTTCCAGTAGACCCAGAATGTTCTTTGTGAGCCTGGTATTTGGGGAAACCCACCCCTCCCGATATGGGCAGTTAAGGAAATGCAACAGCGCCACCTACTGCTCAAAGAGATGGTGGACGAGGCACCTGTGAAAGAGCCGAATTTTCTTTCTTTTTTTTTTTTAAATACAATCTCCACTTTGCACAGAAGTCATCAGCACATGCCATCACCCCATAAGTCTCTTCAGCCTGATGCCGGCTCAGGATGTGAATGGAGTTGTCTTCGGGCTGTTTTTCTCCAGGCATTTTTACCTTGGCAGTTCCCTGGCATGGACGCAAAGTTCAGGATAAGCTAAGTGTCCAAGGTTATGAACAAAACATATGACAGGCCCAGAGCACCTGGGGTTTTCCAGGCCGTTGTCTTGGTGATGAAGGCTAACAGGAAACCCTCTTTCCAGGGGTCATGAGCAGGGGATTTTTTTTTCATCCCAATAAAAGCTTGTTATTTTTACCACCTTCCCTATCCCTCATGCCAGACAACAGAAATGGTATTTCTGCCAACTTCACCACCTCATTTGAATTTTCCTTTATTAGAGAATTGCAAGGAAAAGCAGAAGGTTGTATTTTCTTAGAATACTATTTGAGAGAAGATTGGGATTGAGGATTAGGAGGGCAGGGTGCACAAATTGCCTTCATTCCCTAATTCTCAAAAACTCAAAGGCCAGGTACCAAGACTCACATCTGTAATCTTAGCAACTCAGGAAGCTGAGATCTGAGGATTACGGTTTGAAGCCAGTCTATGCAGGAAAGTCTGTGAGACTCTTTATCTCTAATAAACTACTCAGAAAAAGCCAGAAGTGGTGCTGCGGATCAAGTGGTAGAGCGCTGTAGCCTTGAGCAAAAGAAGCCCAGGCCCAGCGTTCAAGCCCCAAGACTGGCTAAACACACACACATACACAAATGAGATAAAGATATTCATAATTAGACTATTTCAGACTCTACAGATTTAGACTCAAGTTTATTATTACAGTAAGGTTTCCATCAGGGGTCCCTCTGAGGGCATGCTCTTACTTTAGTATTGGGATACATATAGGCTTGCCAATAGTTGTCTATTTTCTGTGTTGCTGGAGAGAGAAAGTAACAGTGGCTCATGGCTGGCTGGCTACAGACTGCATATCAGGAATCTTATGATATCTTGTGAATCATTTATTTGCCCTCCTCCCTCCTCACTATCTTGATCCGAAAGGAAGGAGTGGAGAAAAGTTGACAAGTATCAAGCATTTAATTGGGCTGGGAGATCCAAAATGAGTGAATTGGTCCTGGCCTACCAGGAGCTGGTCACTAACAGAAGGCAGCCTGGTAGTAATTAAGAATGGCAGACAAATTAGGTGTTTGCTAGTGGCTTACACCTGTAATCCTAGCTATTCAGGAGGCTGAAGTCTGAGGATCGTGGTTCAAAGCCAGCCAGCCCTGGACAGCCGTATCTGTGAGCCTCTTGCATTAATCAGTGAAGAGCTAGAACGGAGCTGTGGCTCAAGTGGTAGAGCGATGGCCTTGAGTGGAAAAGTCAAGAGAGAATCTGAGGTCTTGAGTTCAAGCCCCAGTACCACCACAGAAAACAAACAGAGAGCCATTGATCGAGAGTCCGTCTCCCTTTTTTTAAAAAAATTATTATAAAGGTGCTATATCGAGTGGTTACAATTACATAGATCAAGTAAGGAGTACACTTCTTTTTGGAACAGTGTTACCCTTTCCCTCTCTGTCTTACAGTTTCTCCCTCCCATCTCCACCCACAAGTAAAGTTTGCTTTCAACATAGCGTCTAGTGAGTATCACTGCTGCATTGGTTCACCCTTTGTCCCTCCATTTCTGTGCTTCCCCCTTACCCTCCCAAAGACACATCAATGAACAAACAAGACAACAAGAAAACAAGGAGAAATCCTCGTTTCCATTTCCTGGAGTTCATTTTGATAAATACAATTTGATATGATCAGATGTGCCTTCTGGTATAGTTGGAGACTATAGGAGTCATCCTGAGACACAGTCAGCCAACCCTCAATCCGTGGCTCTGATTTCTTCCCCGAGGAACACTGTGCAAAAGGAACATTTGACTTCCTTCCTTCACCTTCTCCTCCTGCCCTCGTGTCTATCCAGCTTCCAAAAGCCAAGTAAGCTAGTCTGATCTACTGTCAGCATGAGATCTCCCATGACCAGTGCCCCCCTCCATAACATTTCAGACACATCCTATCCAGATTCCTCCCTCAGGTCACTGGTCCACAGAACAAGCACATTGTCTGATTAAAGGCTTTCTTCAACTCTGAAGGCATCCGTGCAGAAAGGCACATTTAATGTACACTTAAATGTCAGCATGTTTCCTTGAAAAACAATTCACATGTTCCTTCTGGATAGGAATTCAGATCTCATTTGGCTTAACTAATGCGTGAAGATTACAATGTTAAGAACATTTGGCCACAGCTCTCGGGATGCGCTCAAATCTCCTCTCGGTTCGCCACCCTCAGGAAAGCCCATGGGAAGTGTTTCAAGGAGAGACGCCACTCTTCCCTTCCCTCCTGTTCATGAAGAAATTATCTTTATTTTTTTAAATAAGTCTTAACTTGCCAGAGAGCTATGGCTCCCACCTGTAATCCTAGCCAGGAGGCTGAGATCTGAGGATTGCAACTGGAATCCAGCCAAGCAGACAAATCTGAGAAACTCTTACTTCCAATTAAGCAGCAACAAGTTAGAAATGGATGTGTGGCGAAAGTGGCAGAGCACCAGCCTTGAGAAAAAGAAAAAGTGAGAGGCCCTGAGTTCAAGCTCTAGTACGCGCGCACATACACAAACACACACACACACACACACACACACACACACACACACACACACACACACACTGCTTAGGATGAAAAAGTCATGTATGAATACATGCATTGTGAAAGATTAGGAAACAGATGAGGAGAAAGAAAAGTTGACTTAGTACTCCAGGTAGATAGTAGGCCCCGGTCCTTGTCAATCAGGGATCCCTCAGACATGGTGAACTTACCCTGCTGTATAGAAACGTATGAGACAAACTTCCCCCTTAAAAGGAAGCAGAGGCAAGTTTCTGACTGGTGCCTTTCTTACTCATGTAGCACGGGGAGATCAAATTCCCACCACAAAGCCTCAGCTGGAGAGAACCCTTGGCCTCTGCTCCACTGCACCTCGTGGCTCATGTGTACATGTGTGTGTGTTTCCTCTTGCAGGTTCTACATCGAAAGCATTTCCTACCTGAAGGACAATGCCACCATCGAGCTGTTCTTCCTGAACGCCAAGTCCTGCATCTATAAGGTACGAGCGTCCCCCTTCCTGGCCACTTTCCTATCAAAACCTGGAAGTGGCACTGGCAGCTGGAGATGCCATGTTGCTTCCATTAACATTGTTTAAGAACTTCATGGGGCTGGGGGGAGGGGGGGAAATCAGCTAAACAATGTCAGAGCTTTGTAGAGAGGTGTTTCTTAGCTGCATGCCAATGCTAGAGGTTTCTGTCAGCTGAAACGGTGGGGAATGTGGATGGGTATGACAAATACACTAGTCAGTGGGGAACCTGGATGAATATGATAAGAGTACTCATCAACTTAGACTGGTATGAATGAACTTTGAAAGTATGAATGAACTGTGTGTGTGTGTGTGTGTGTGTGTGTGTGTGTGTGTGTGTGTGTATTTGCCGTGTGCACATGAGCCACAGCTCCACTTCCTGCTTTTGGGTGCAGCCCTGAGAACTTCAAAGCCAAGAAACCCATGGGTGGGCTGGGAACCACTGGATGTATTTTGAGATTTTGTGGCCTGTACTGCTTTTGTATTTAATTAAAGTCAGACTTGATCCATATCCAACTTGATCCACAGAGTTAGAGTAGTGATATGCCCTCGCTTTCCCCTTGGGAAGTACTTCAGCACACACATGTATCACAGAATAATTCTACCAAGAGCACACGCTCTTGCCACATCAAGCTCAGTCTCCAGAAGCACCTTGATGGTGGCAATGACTGGGCTAAGATCACACCATACTGGTTTTGATTTCTGTTAGATGGAGGAAAGGACACCCTCTGTAGTTCAGGGTACTTGGAAACTCTTTTCTCTCCCTAATCCCCCACTGTCTTACTAGACAGTGGAACTAGGCTGGATACCCATGGCTCATGTCTGTAGTCTTAGCTATTACTCAGGAGGTCCAGGCAGGGAGGATTGTGGTACAGAGCCAGTCTAGGCAGGAGGATTGAGAAGCCTTTGTCCAGTTAAACAGCTAAACGCCTGAATGGAGGCATGGTGCAAGTGGTAGAGCAACAGCCAACTGAGTAAGAGAAACAAGTATGAGGCCCTCATTTCAAACCGAGGTGCCAGAGAAAGACAAAGCATGAGAGATGGAAGAGGAGGAAGAAGGAACAGAAGAAGGGTGGGGGGAAGAAGAGGAAGAGGATGGTGGGAAGTAGAGGAGGAAGTTGGTGGGAAGAGGAAGAGGAGAAGAAAGAAGAGGAGGAGGAAGAGGAATGTTCACTTTCAAAGTGAAACAATAAAAGGTGAGGTGTCCACTAGGTGGCAGACGTGAGCTAAAGTAAAAGCCACCAAACGCATGCAATCACTCTCCAGTCTGACAACACCTGGGTAAAGGCACAGGAAACAGTTTCTCCCTTGGAGTAGCTCATTCTCCACCCACCCCCACTCCCCACTCCCAGTTGCAAAAGCTAAGCTAGAGCTGAGTATCATGAATGGCAAGGACTCAGGAATTTATGGAAATTTTCAAAAAACAGAAGAGGAGACTAAATCCTCAGAAATGAATGTTACAGATTTCCCAAGTGAAGGTCATCTGGTTGGATGCCTTTGGAGCCAGCCCCATGTAAAGCCCAAACAAATGCCCACAGCCTCAACCCACCTGGTGATCAGGGAGTGGGGACCGTTCTAGAACCTTCTCTCAAAGTCTCTCCTTCAGCTTGATTATTCAAGTGAGCACAGATGACCAATGATGGCCTCCCTGGAAATGTAGGTAGGATACAGAACATGAGAGACCGCTCATCTCCCTCAGTAGTCCCTGGTTTGCATACACTGACAGTTTACAAAGAACCTTGGGTGTCTACTCCTTGTCCTGAGCCTCCTGTCTTCTGAGAGATATAGAGTGGGAATTAACAAGAACTTTGCAGGAGGAGCTGGTATTGAGAAGAACAGATGTATCTGAATGGGCAGGACCCTGGCTCCAGTCAGAAACACAGATAATAAGGGCCATGGAGCTGGCTGACTGGTTGGCTTTTGCTGGGACAGATTGGGTTTCCCTCTCAGCAATGCCACTTGGAGAATGGACTAAATGGGACCCCCTTCCCCTTCACACTATCTCTAAGCTCTTGATCTTCTGCCTAAGCGAGAGCATTCCAAGACCTACTCCCACGTGCTCTGGAAGACAAGAGACGAGCATAGGACACCCGGCGCTGTTAGCCACTGGATCCAGACCCGCCTTGCATCTCTTAGCTATGATTTTTTTCCATGCCACTCACATGGCCTCCTAGCATTATAGAAGTGCTGGAGAGCCCAGAAGGCAGGGCATCTGATAACCTAATCACCTTGCTGTGCTGCTCACCTGGGCTTTGGTTTCCTCAGCAATTTGACACCAGCTACCTCCTTGTTTCCTGGGGACATGCCTGCAGAAGCTAAGCTGTTGAGGGAAGGCAAACTGCTTAGCCCTGTCAATGTGAAGAATGAATTTCATTCATATTTTATTTTATTCATTTTTGCCAGTCCTGGGGCTTGAAGTCAGGGCCTGGGCACTGTCCTTGAGCTTCTTTTGCTCAAGGCTAGCACTCTACCACTTGAGCCAGTGACACTTACTTCCAGCTTTATGTGGTACTGAGGAATGGCACCCAGGGCTTCATGCATGCTAGGCAAGCACTCTACCACTGAGCCACATTCCCAGCTCTTACTCACATTTTTAAAGAATTAGATCTCTATTTGGTCAGGGGCTGAGGTGCAGAATCTAGCATGTGCCAGGCTCTGTCTTCAACACCACCAGAATTATTTGTATTATGTTTCCCAAAGATTTATGTGACGTAGTTTAAAAGTCAAATGGTTCTAAAGGGCTGATTATAAAAATATGTCTACCTCTTCGACCATTTTTAGCCGCCTTTTTCAGGATGTGTCTCTACGTTTCTAAATAAATAGCACTGCTATTCCTAGATTTGTCCTTTTTAGACTTATTGAAATCTATTCATTTGCTTTGGGGCCAAGCTTTCCTTGAAAAGAGTTCCAAGTGCTGTGATTACAGGCATGCACAACCACATCCCACTTTTTTTTTAATGGATGAGGATTAAGGTGTCTTATACAAGCACCCATACTTTCCCTTTTCCTTATTTTCTCCGTAGGTGGTAACAGCACTGGCTTAAAGCCACAGTCATCAGCATGACATGATTATGACTAATCCATGTAGTTTCTGCCCTTGTGATTCCTTTCTTAAGACAACCAGTTGTTTGACCTGGAGGGAGTGAATGTTTTGCTTTTAATTGCTTAGTTTCTATGTATCCTTTGCTTTTGCTTTTTTTTTTTTCTTCTTCCTCCCATAGCTCCTACAGATTCGCAGATGGATTCTCAAGTTTCTTCCTAAGGCAAAGATGATTCCTGGTTCTCTCTCAGGCTTTTCTTTGGGGCTTTGCTGCGTTTCATTTTCCTCTTAGCATTCTCCGACTTTCTGATCTAGCCTGAACTTGGTTTCTTCTGCAGCTCTAACGCGGGAGACCCCTTCCTTATCTGGGTCTCTCTGTGCTGTGTTGGGTCCCCTGTCTCCTGTGTTGGTTTTGTTTGCTTGTTTTATTGCTGTTGTGCTTCTTTTGTTTGTTTTACACCATTGTCTCGCTGGAGAATGTCCTCCAGTAATCCCTGGCAATCATGTACATGTGGAAAGCAGAATGTCTGGGGCCTTTGCATATCTGAAAATGTCTTTATCCTTCTGCCTTCATGTTGGATGGCTAGTTAGGGCATAGAGATGTAGAATGGAGATTTCTCTCAGAATACCAAGTGTTGTTCTGGAAACATCTACCACCCTGGAACTCCAAACCCTGGGATCTGTTAGGATCTCCTCTTGATTCCTCTTGATCTGAAATGTCAGGAGAGTCCTTGGGGTGATTAGTGATGTTGAGTATTTGCTGGGCAATCCTAGTCTAGCTCTGTGGGGTTTTTTGGGAGCTGTCACCAAGGCTTGAACACCAAACCTCATGTTCTCACTCGCCTTGCTTGCTAACAGCTGCCACACTACTATTGAGCCACCTGGCATTTTGCTGGTTAGCTCTTGACAGTCTCCAGACTTTTCTGCCTAGGTGGACTTTGAGCCTCAATCCTCCAGGTCTCAGCCACCTGAGTAGCTAAGATTACAGGTGTGAGCTACCGGTGCCTGGATCCAAACACTGGATTTAACGGATCAGTTTGAGAAGCCTAGGTACCAGGGACTTGCCTGGGTTGTTTTTTGTTTTGTTTTTGCAAATCCCCAAGTTGGGCGCCTAAATGTATTCGGTAAGAGCAGATCACGATGGAAGAAAAAAGCTTAGAAATCCTTTACTTTGTATTCCTTGCTGAGCTATCTGCGTTGGACTAAAGCTTCACAGTTATTGAGTCTAAGCAATTAGACTCAATACTGGGCCACAGTGGACAGAGAGGTCTATAAATTGCTATCAGTCTTGTCATTCAAAGAAAAGGTCTTTATTGGAGATCTTCAAAGAGCTCTGCTAATGAACAGATGATGTCATTGTATCTGTAGGTGGCAGAAACAAAGCCCAGAATCCTATCCCCACACGACAGGGACAGCAACACGAAAGCCCAGTCGTTCTCATCTCTTACTTTGATTTGTGTAGACGCTGCCGCGTGTGTCTGTGGGGAAGACAGCAGGAAAAACAAAAGGAAGGACAGGGAGGGACCCTTCCAGCTTTCTAAGCACTCGCTCACATGGCCCTGTCATCGGGCTGTGTGCAACAACCTGCAGGAGAAGCCCCAGTGTCAGCCAGGCACAGCCATGGCTCAGTGTGAATGGTATGCATGTACTCATGTGCGTCACGTGACACGCATGAAGTGACTTGCCAACCTGGCAGAGGGCTGAGGAAGGAGATTGTGTAAGCTCGAAGCAGTCCTGGCCTGTGCCATAGCCCTGCGGGCCCTGCCTACCCCAAGCGTCTCCATGTAGAATTCTATGCTGTCCAGTGAGACAAAGATTGCAAGTGCAGCCTGACCCGCTGTGATGGTATGTACCACTTGAGTCAGGCCTCTGAAGAGAAACAGAAGCAATAAAAAAAATATGTATAGATCCATAGGAAGGCATTTCTCATGCAGGGCTGGCTGTGGTAGAAGTCCACACTGTGGGATCCATGCCCAGAGGCCTGGGAACCAGAGGAGCAACCTTGTAAAGCTCAACCCACAGGCAGAAGATGGGATGAGAGGCTCCAGCTCAGAAAAGATGAGCCTGAGGCTGGTGGTTCATACTTATAAAACTAGCTACTCGGGAGGCTGAGATCTGAGGATTGTAGTTCAAAGCCAGCTCGGGTAGACAAAGCTAAAAGACTCTTACCGCAATTAACCAGCAAAAGCTGGAAGTGGAGCTGTGGCCCAAGTGGTAGAGACACCAATCTTGAACACAAAAGCTCGGGGACAGCACACAGGCCCTGAGTTCAAGACTCAGTACCAGGGTGTGCGCACATGCATAAACATATAGACACACACACCTCCTCCTCCTCCTTCTCCTCCTCTGCTTCCTCCTCTTCTTCTCCGTCCATCCATCCATACCTCTCCCCATAGGTATAGATCTTTCCATTTTAGCAGATGCCTCAAATCATGAACTAAACTCTACGCTCACACTTAAAAGGGCTGTTTTCTGATAGGAAGTTTGGAGCAGCACAGATGTAAACCTCCCAGTCATGTTAACCATTAGCCTACACTGACCATTAGCTGCAAGGTAGGTGTAAATGTTTGACAGGAAAGCACACACACACCAAGTCTGCTATGGAGACCCGTGAGCTCATTAGGAAGCTGCACAGTGGGAAAGGAAACGGACCCTGTTAAGTAGAAATGAGCCATTGTGGAAGCCCTGGACTGCATTTCTGTGTGATCATTTGTGCACTTTTCAATGATTTACATTCTGATGGGACCTGGTAATCCCACTGGTGTAATTCCAAACATTCCTCTACATGCCCTGCATGGAAGGTCTATATCAATTACAGAGCCATAAAACTCTTCCATCCTGTTAAGCATAAAGAGTTATTGTCCTCCATTCTTCCTTATTCTGGGTCATTCTCTTAGGCTGTGTTTCTGACATGGTTCAGTAAAACGTTAGTTCCATCTTTGAAATGCTGAGGCCTAGAAGACCTCCAGGATATTCTTTCTTCGGAAGATAGAGATACGATTGCTTAATGCTTTGTTTTGAATTATTGGGGACAATTTAGGACTCATTGAGAATAATTAGAAAATTCAAAATCAGTTTGGTTTCTAGTTCAAGTCATCATTGAAAGTAACTCTTTTAAAAAATGGTAAAGAAACACATGAGGAAATGCTCAACATCCCTGGCCATAAAGGAAATAAAAATCAAACCAACTCTGAGATTCCATCTCCCTCCAGTCAGAATGACCAGGATCGTGAATTTTTACAACAAATGTTGGGGATGTGGTGGAAGGGGAACCCTCTTACACTGTTGGTGGGATTGTAAACTCATACAGACTCTTTGGACAACGATCTGGAGGTTCTTCAAAAGACTAAACATAGATCTTTTCTATGACCCAGCCATACCACTCCTGGGCATCTGCCCAGAACATCACAAGCCAGGATGCCGTAGGCACTTGTACATCCATGCTCATTGCTGAACTCTTCACAATAGCAAACCTATGGAAACAGCCCAAATGGCCTATTGTAGATGAGTGGATCCAAAAAATGGGTATCTATATATAATGGAAGTTTACATAACCATTAGAAGGAAGACTATTGTGTCATTCACAGGGAATTGGATGGACCTAGAACAAATCATGTTACGTGAGATAAGCCAAGCTCAGAGAGACAATTGACATGTTTTCTCTCATATGAAGAAGCTAGATCTAAAATTCACATGATAAATTGTACAGGACTCTAGGCATTCATATACACTCTAGAGACCAAAGGAGAATACTCTTAGGAGAGGAACACAAAAGTGCAATGTCTACGTGCATATGATTATATACAATAGTATTTGTCAAAATGAACTCCAGAAAATGGAAACATGAGGGTTTTTTGTTGCTATTTTTGTTTTCTTTTTTTTTGTCCTGTTAATTCATCTGTCTTTGGGAGGGAACTGGAGGGACAAAGTGAACAAATATAGCAGTGCTACTCACTAGACACTGTGTTGAAAATGAACTATACAACTTGCCGGTGGGATACAAAGGAAAAACTGGGAAAGACCAAGGGAAGAAATACAAAAAATGCAAAAAGAAATACACTATCTTTACCTGACTTATGTAACTATAACCCCTCTGTCCATTACCTTTATGACAAAAAATTCTAAAATTTAACAAAAAAGATAGGAAAAATAATAATAAAAATAGCCAGGGTGCCAGTGGCACACACTGGTAATGCTAGCTACTCAGGAGGCTGAGAGCTGAGAATCGTAGCAGTTCAAAGCTAGCCAGAGCAGGAAATTTCCTGAGACTTTTATCTGCAATAAACTACTCAAAAAAGCCGGAAGTGGCACTGTGGCTCAAAGTGGTAGAGTGGTTACCTGAGCAAAAAGAAGCTCAGGTCATTGCCCAGACCCAGAGTTCAAGCCCCAGGAATGATAGAAAATTAAATTAATAAATAATAAAGTAACTCTTTTAGGCAAAGGTCAATTATAGGTATTGTTCTGAGAATTATATTGGTTGAGACTGAGTCCTTACTGATTAGAGGGAGGATGTAAGTTCCAGGGAAGGTTCTCTACTGGACTAGGAGTTAGGAGATGGTTTCTAGCTCCATAGCTGCTCTTAAGGCATGACTTTCTGTTCTTGAGGCTGGGCTAGCTGGTCTCTAAGTCTTTCCAACTCTTTCTTCAGCTCTTATCTAGCTACTCACTACAGGACCTAGAGCTAAAAGGGAAAGAACCCGGAAGGACATTTCTACTTTGACATGGAAATATAGTTGTCAGCTCCTTGATTTCTTATCACATGCTAATGGACTATAGATTTCATTCTGTCTTTAACATATGAGCTCTATATATCAAAACAGCATCATTCACTTAAAATTCATCTTGGGTGCTGGTGGCTCATGCCTATAATCCTAGCTACTCAGGAGGCTGAGAACTGAGGATCAAGGTTTGAAGCCAGCCTAGGCAGGAAAGTCCATGAGACTCTTAATATCTCCAATTAACCACCAAAAAAAGCTAAAACGGAAGCTGTGGCTCAAGTGGTAGAGCACTAGCTTTGACACAAAAGCTTAGGGACTGTGTCCAAGCCCAGTGTTCAAGGCCTAGGACCAGGGGGAAAAAAGCTTATTAAGAAGGTAGATCATGTTAATTAATGCACAAGCACACTCAGTTAGGAGACAGTGGGCATGTCTGTTACCTTGACTGTGGTAATGATACCATAGCATCTGTGTCCAAACTCATGAAATTTTATGCGTTAATCACATGTAGTTTTTTGATAAGTGTAAAGCTATTCAAAAAATTAGGAAGTACAATCTTATATCGCTTAATGAGAAATGTGTCACCCTTTTCTAAAAACATCATAGTGTTTAATTATGCGTCTCACGGGACCCCCAGTACAAATGTGACCTGCTCTATGTGAAAACTTCCTTTTTTTGGTCGGTCGTGGGGCTTGAACTCTGGTCTTGGGTGCTGTCCCTGCACTCTTCAGCACAAGGCAAGTGCTCAACTGCTTGAGTCACAGCACCACTTCTGGTTTTCTAGTGGTTTATTAGAGACAAGAGTCTCATGGACTTTCCTGCCCGGGCTGGCTTTGAACCGTGATTCTCATATCTTAGCCTCCTGGGTAGCTAGGATTACAGGCATGAGCCGGCACCCGGTAAAAGCATCCTTTTGTGGTTTAAAACAATATATGAATCCTGAAAAACAAAATGCACATTTGATTTTGTTCCCAAGAACTAAGGATAAGTTTGCATTTTTAAAGGGCATAGCCCTAGATCACAATTAAGATTTGAGGAAAAAATTATAGAACATAAACATACTGGAACTCCACCCCATCGTGACTTAAGCCATAGAAGCCTTTGCAATAAATAAAATGGTTCTCTGTTCCCAACAACATGGTAGCCCTTTGCTACCCTGAGTTATGAGCACATGAAAGAAATGTCCCCCATGTAACCGAGGAGCCGCAGATTTCAAGTTCCCTGTCTTTGCTTTTAACATGAAGAATCATGATCCCATTAATGCATTTCTTTCCATGGTGTCTTGCCACCAGTTCTGAAGTGGGAATTTACCATGAAAATTCAATTGATTGTTCAAGCACCCCTACTCCAGTGATCAGCGAGGTGAACAAGATTGTAACATGCTGGACATGGTGCCCTCCGTAATGTCTCATCCAGACTTGAGGATGAAGCCTCTGGATGCCACGTAAGGGGCACTGGTTGTCTCTGGTTCAGAGCAATAAGGAGGGTGTCTAGCAATGTCAGGAGGCAGGAAATTCAGATCTGTGGTCTGATAATCCCTGAGTGTTGAGATTCTGGGGGACTTCTCAGGGAAGATTAAGTCTCTGCAGAGTGCTGTCATGAAGAAGTCATAAAGCATTACCAAACTTACCTTGCCTGCTGTCTTTCCTTTCAGGAGCTTATTGACGTTGACAGTGAGGTGGTATTTGAATTAGCTTCCTACATTTTACAGGTAAGTTGCTCTACCCAAACTGGAAGAGGACATGCACAGGCAGGGCCATATGCATTCTGTCTTCTTTTTCCTAGCTGGGAGGGGCCAGTAAGAGCATGATCCTATGGCTATAGATGGGTTTTACTATTCCAAGTTTTTAAGACTGTATGTCACTGTCAAAGAAAGTAGGTGTTTAAGCAGTAGCTCTACTTTCTTTGAGTTTTGTACCCTTTTCTTTCCTGGGAAAAACCAAGTGAATAGCTAGAATGAATTGCTAGTGAATCACTCTGTGTTACTTGTAATGACAAAGCAAAAAAAATTTTTTTTAAGCTTTTAGCTTATGTAAGAGAGGGAGAGAGTCAGGGAGAATGGTGGAGTGAGTAGAAATGACTCCTTCAGCAAATATTTAGCACTGCTCAATATCAAGATCTTAGTCTTGATTCGCTGAATTTCCATGTCCCTACCTCTTGAGTCTTTGGTATCATTCAGAAAGAACTCACAGGACAAAGTGACATAAGAAATAGTTCTGGTCAGGCATAGTAGTGTACACCTGTAATCCCAGCTATCTGGGAGGATGAGGCAGGGGGTTGGCTTGAGGCTAAGAATTCAAGATCCACCCATAACATAGCAATTCGCTGTCTCAAAGAAAGAAAAGTAGGAAGAAGGCAGGAAAGGAGAGAAGGGGAGGGGAGGGAAAAGGAGGGAAGAGGGAAAAGAAAAAGGGAAGGGGGGAAAATAGTTTTATCTGAACACACAGTCAGATTTAGAAAACACACACACACATTAGACCAGGGTCCGGGAGTAAAAACTTGCTTATCAATTTATTTGTTTGTAACTTTCTAAAGCTTAACTTTAGAGTTTCCTATTCCAGGGGAAGTGCATGGACTCCCTCTTGTCTTCCTGTAGTAGTGGGGTTAGAGTAACAGGTCTTGTAGAGTAGGGTGAGAGAATACAGGTCTTGCTGTAGTCTCAGGGTTGCTGGCGTGATTACAGCAGGTATTTTACAGACTAGCACTGAATTTGTGTGTTGTGCTGATGTTCTTTTTTTTCCCCCTCTACAGGAAGCAAAGGGAGATTTTTCTAGGTGAGTTTACCAATGGGGTATTTTTCTTGTTTGTTTTGTTTGGGCTTTAAAATGTATTCTGTGGCTTTCCCATTAAGAGATCTGTGGTGCCTATCCCTTGTCATCTGACTGTTATCTGACAGTTGATTGATATGTATCAGCGATGAGATCCACCTGTCAGCTTGTGGATGGGAACAGATAGATCACACAGAGAAAGCTCAGTAATATACCATACTAAAGGAAAATCTCATAGGTTACTAGAAACACAGGAAGTCCTTTCCTTCCTGCTTGAGATTCTGTTGGAGATGATAACACAAACAGACTTAGCTATGGGGTAACCCTATAGAAGGCAAACTTGAATTTTCCCATTCATTCCATAAGCACCACCCAATGAGCAGCATGGCTGAAATTGCCTACAATCGAGACTGTTCATGACCTTCACAGAGCAGATTATTGTAGCCATCCCTCAATGGGACTGTGCTCAAAGACAGGGACTTTCCATGCATTCTACATTATCAAACTCCTCTGTGAAAACCCAAGATGCTTTACACCAAGGTCTAGATACAAGTGAGAGGAGATAACCACACACACAGAGCAAAGTGTGGCATCGGGGCACATGAAAATTGGTATTAGAAAGAAATTGAGCCAGGTACTAGTAGACCACACTTGTAATCTTAACTACACAAGATACTGAGCTCTGAGGATCATAGTTTGAAGTCATCCCAAGCAGAAAAGTCCATAAGACCTCTAAAAACTTGTAAGTGGAGATGTGGGTCAAGTGGTAGAGTGCCAGCTTTGCGTGGAAAATCCAAGTTAGAGTGCAAGGCTCTGAGTTCAAGCCCCAGTACCAGCATAAATTTTTTAAATTAAACTTAGACTTCATCAAGAAATATATGTTTTGCTGTGCTTTGAAGGTTTAATCTGTAAAGGCAATATAACTAAGCTGGAGGTATATGTTTCATCAGACATTTCCAAAAGGTAAAAATACATTTTTTTTTTGGTCCGGTCATGGGGCCTGAACTCTGGGCCTGGGTGCTGTCCCTCAGCTCTTCATCTCAAGGCTAGCACTCTACCACTTGAGCCATAGCGCCACTGCTGGCTTTTTTCTTATGTGGTGCTGAGGAATCGAACCCAGGGCCTCAGGCATGCAAGGCAAGCGCTCTACCACTGAGCCACCTTCCCAGCCCTCTATAACTTCATTTTTAAATCTAAAGTAGGCAAACTTTTTCTGGGAAAAAAAAGCCAGTAAATAGCTTGGATTTGGATTTTGCAGGCCATGAAATCATTTATTGCAGTCACTCAGCCAGTGAGCATGAGTGTGTTTCAATAAAACTTCATTTAGGAAGACAGAAATTTGGATGCTAATATGTTTTCTTGTATCATGAAATCCTTCTTTTCTTCTTCCTCCTCTTTCTCCTCTTAGTTCCCCCCCTTCCTGATCTTCTTCCTCTTCTTCCTCCTTCTTCCCTCCTCTTGTTCTTCTCTATCTTTTCCAGGAAGATGGTTGAATTTGGCCCAAGTAATAGTTTACCAACCTCTAATCTAAAATGTAATTTCTTCAGCTCTTTAGATATTTTCATAAGGAGATCTCCAAGTTACTTTATTCGGGTTCCCCAGATCCTTAGTAGAAAGCAGAGGTGTCCCGTTTTTCATTGAGAGTGACTATATGAAGCTGGATCTTAAACACGGTACTTAGCTCATCTCCACTTACCGAACTTGTTCAATGAAACATTTTCAGGTTGTCAAAACTACATGACAATTTGCCTGTGTTATTTTCTTGTGATCTTAATTTGTTCTAGAAATGTGGGGTTTTGACAAGTAGTAGTGTATCTACTTGAAAGATTCCTGCAGTTCTATGAAATTTCACAAGCCCAGTGGATTCCAGTGCCTAGTTTACTTACTCTGAAGATCCTTTTTCATTGGCCAGCTCTGTGACTCCTACTGTAAATATTATTTATTCTTAAGAGAACCCTGACAGGGTGGAATGTGAACTGGGAGCAACCTCATGTGGCCCCACAGACCATGCAGCCTGGCCACATGGATTGCCAGAGAGGAAGTATACAGGCCAGGCCCCGGCAGCCATTCATGGCTCCCTTGTGAGCTGGTAGAATGCCAGGAGGGTTGTCTGGAATCAAGGAAATCAAGGGACCTGGTGGAGCTCTATTTGTCAGGGAGCTGTCTAAAAGGTTGTAACTGTAGCTGTCAGGGGAGAGAAATAGCTGTGAAGGGAGAGGAAGGTCAGACACTTTATGCTCAGGTCAGGTTATCTCATCATTAAAACCCACCCCCCATAGACAGAAGAAGTGGTGTGTTCCACGTGACAGACAGGCCCATCTTCTCAAGTAGGCCTGGTGGTTAGGACAACGCTTCAGAAGTCCTGTGAAACTGATTCGTTTGAGACTCCTGGAGTTCTGAAATAAGAGGAGTACTTTTAAATTCCTTGCGTCTGAACTCCTTCCCATCCACTGCAACACAGCGTTGATGACCTTGCATTTGGTGGTTGAAGGTCAGGCATTTCAGATGTGCCCTTCTCTGGATTTAGTTTTGGAGAAGGTGAGTTTTGTGATTAGCTCTCAACTCGTGACTCTACATTCTTAGTTGTGAATAAGTGGACGGCTTTGACATGGAAACATACCCTGTAAATGGGGTGCATTTTCCTGAATGACGTGAATACAACAAAATGCCAACTTAGAAATATAGAACTGCAGGGAACGGCTGTTACATATATTATACAGGGTCCAAGGCTATCTAGAATCCAGATGATCACATGGCTTTTGAAAGTTTTGGCCACATACAAAAGGCACTGTAATTCTCTCAAGTCCTGAGGGGTCTTGAATCTCTAATTTCTAAACAGCTGTTTGTTTTTGTTTGGGAGCCTGCCTATATCTCTATAACTAGAGCCTACTTTGTGGAATAAGTATTAGAAATCTACAAATTATGGGAGTAATTTTCTTGAAGTACAATGGAGGAAAAAAGGTTATTTTTTTTAACAAGAGAAATAAACACTGGTACACTTTTATAGAGAAAAAATAAGCACATATATACTTTAATAGAGAAAAATATAATGACAATCCAGGAGAGTGAATGTACAGACTCTATTCTTCTTCTTCTTCTTTTTTTTTTTTTTGACTCTTGATTTTGCTTAGCAAATCCCTGAAGGCTTCCTCTTACGTAACTCTCTTCTATTTAATGGACATGCTCACTGGCTTGTCTTATTGAACTGGACAGTGAAATGTTGGGTTTAGCATTGCTGAAAGCAAATGAGCAGAGAATAACCAGATAAGTAGTATTGTCTGTGTTAGGAAGAAATATGGGTCATACATATTCAGATTCTGACATGTAGAGGACAAATGTGTGCAATACATTAAAGGATTAGGAAGTCGCTTTATCTAAAGATAATGTTTGTTCACTTGTATTATTTTCCGGAGCATAACATGGGTAATCTTATTTCATTTCCTGACATATATACCCTTAAAAAGAAACATTTTCGCGTCTGTCAACTTTACAAAAGTCAGGAGTGTTAGCTTTTCTGTTTTAAAAACAATCCAGTAGCCCCAGAGCTGTGGGATCAAGGGAGCTACGGAAGGACCAACAGACTTATAACAAAAATTCTCCTTTGCTCATCTCCAGTGCCTATGAAACAGTAGCCAACCAAGCATACCTTTGTTCAACCTATTATCATGTTTCAAGTGCTCAGCACTGATGTTCTTATTTTTATTGCATTTTCAATCCTTGAGCCATTATAGAAAGAAATACCTTCTTCTTTCCTAAGGTCAATGCAGAGAACACGACTTAAAGTGGCTGGACATCCAAACTTTCTAGTGATATTTGAACTTAATTTGATAAAGGACTTATCACCATACTCTACCAAAATGATTTAAGGGGAAGTTAGCTGAAAACCCTACTGACCAGCAACATTTCTCTAATTTGAGAGTCAACTTACTTGTCACCCTCTGTCCACCTTTCTTTATGGGAATTGACCCAATTTCTATGATAAAAGGTAATTTTTAAATAGAGGAAACACAAAGACTGGGTGCTATAGTGCGCCTGTCATCCCAGTAATAAAGCACGAATAGGAGGACTGCAGTCCAGACTGGCTCAAGCATAAAGCAAGACTGAGTCCCACAAATAAAGCAGGAAAGAGACTTGGAAGAGTGCCTCACGTGGTAGAGTGCCTGTTTAGCAAGCTCTGGCCCTGAATTCAAATATGAGTATCACTCCTACTAATAATATAACTTTAACATTTTGCAAAATTGAAATGATTTTAACTGCTTAGCGATCATCTGTCCGTTATCAGAGTCATACAAAACAGCTATTGTGTAGAATTTCTTTCTGCTACCCAGGTTTATTGGAAGCAGATTAGCAAAGCTCCAGGTCACCTACTGGGGACCAGAGAGTATCATCATCATCATCATCATCATATTATTATTATTGTACCGGTCCTGGGGCTTGAACTCAGGGCCTGGGCACTATCCCTTAACTTTTTCACTCAAGAATAGCATGCTCTACCACATGAGCCACAGCTCTACTTGTGACTTTTTGGTGGTTAATTGGAGATAAGTGTCTCATGGACTTTTCCTGCACAGCTAGCTTTGAATTGTGATACTGAGATCTCAGTTCCCTAAGCAGCAAGGATTAGCCACCATTACCCAACAGAAATAAATCAAGGCCTCATGCATGCCAGGCAGGCATCCTACCGCTGTGTTACACCTCCAGCCCTCTAGGAGCATCATTTTACAGAGAACGGGCCTTACTCATGCTGATCACTAATCCAGGATTCTCTCTGCACAAGATTTATGAGGTCCAAGAAAGCCACCAACACCTGGAAGGGAACAGTGTTAAGGAGATGCTTGTAAAGATCCAGGGCCCGTTTTGCCTCCCTGGTAAACTGCCTCCTTTCAGATAAGCTTGCCATTCCAAACAAATGCAGCCACCAAAGGAGAAGTGAGGTTTGGATCACATACTTCTAGGTCAGTTAATAAGACATCTGCGCAAAATTAAATGCCAGTCTTCCTGAGAGA